AAATTTTCTTTGAATTGCGGAAAGTGGGGCAACAAGTTGAGGAAAATCCAAGGGTGGGTAGAATGAGGAAGGGGGTCGTATCAACCCCCTAAAAAAGGTAGGGGTCGTACGGATTCGACCAAAATCCCCAGCTGATTTTGTGCCCTGCTTATAATACCTTCATATTGTGGTTGTTGGACTTCTAAGCGGAGAGTGCCACCAGCTAAGCCAATGAACTACTCTCAAAGTCTCTTCCTGTTTAGAATGGCAACAGCACGTGAAAATACGATTTATTCACTTAGCGAAGCGGCGAATAAAGGTGCTGACTATGTAGAGTTTGATGTCCAACTCACTAAGGTAAGCAGGAGTTTGAGCGTTCTGTAGGACCGTCAATACTATTGACTCCCAATACGCCACTTTTTTTGGGATATGCAACCGGTCATCTACCACGATTTCCATGTTCTTGTTGAAGTAGCGGGTCGAAGACGGGACCCGTTTGCAAAACCACGACATCATCAATTAGCTATCAAAGTTCGTTGCTAACTACTAGTAGTACCCTCGTAACGAGTATTCAAGCTACCCATTTCAGGACCTTAACCTCGATCAGCTTCATCTGTTACAACTCGAACATCCGGCTGAACGATTAAATAAGACGTGGAGGGTGACACCAAGTGAGGAGGAGATCAACGAAGAGATCCACAATCCGTTCCCTCATCTGAAGCAGGTGTTGGAATCCGTAAATCCCAACGTTGGATTCAATATTGAAGTGAAGTATCCTATGAAAATGAAGGTAAGCGCTTATTGGCCTCAGAAAACCTTTTAATTGGCAGAGGCATCAGTAACGGCAACCATTTTCTCAGCTTATAAGCGAGACGGCTTCAGAAGCCTCCTGAGCTTACAGACAGTCATGATCCCTGCAGGGGCGTGTGGACGGGGCGTGTGATGGATTGGAACGCAGCCAGGGCGACGTTTTCACCAATGATGTCATCCTGAGCCTAGAAGAGTTGGCGGAGATAGGCTGTTTTGTTCGCTCCAAATTACTCCCCTTCCTCCTATTGTTTGCAGGGATCATATCCAGGGCCCATCATTGGCTGGGGATCTTGGACGAGTCCGTACGACCCCCCTCCCCTTCTTAGGGGGTTGGTCCTGGTTCCCTCCTCATCGAGATGTGGAGCGGGGGGGGGGGGGATAGTGCACATGAAACAGGATAATCACGAAAGGTCAGCAACATCTTTTAGAAGATCAGAAGACAAATACGACCCTTCCCAACATCAAAGCCCTACGACCTCCCCCTTTACATTAGTTCCTAATTACAAGGAAAAAATCAATTTATCAATAAAATTTTCCTGCTACTGACGGACCTCCCCTCGGCCCAACGACAAATACGACCCCTCCTGTTTGGGTGAGTCCCAATAACGATATGCTCTAATATAACGTGCATCTGTGCGCTTTGTATTCCGGAATTTACAACTGAAGTTTTGGCCGGAAATCATACAGGTTAGACAATCTTGGTAATTTGTAAGACAGAAGCTTTGTGCGTGCTGCACTCACCCGGCCGTTTTTGTGGCGCCGTTTCGGCACGCATGGTGACACATCTGCGTAATGTTCAATGTGTTATCTGGTGCTAGACAACCAGCGGTGGCTAGACGCTCTCAATGTTGGCGACACTGACGAAATTGTAGAATGGGAGAACTGAACGAAGAGCATGAGGAAACAGAGCCGCTTCATTCTCACCGATTTGTCAGATCGTACTTATACTTTCTCCAGCTTACGTTCTTCCTTTCTCGACTCTCCCCAGGTCGGCATAGTATGAACGCCGCTTAAGGCAGCTGGAATAGGTGGACTCCACTAGCGCACGTCCGTTTCTCCTTGCTCGATCAGCATTCTGCCACGGAACTGTGCATGTCGCTTAGGGGCCGTCAAGGGTCGAAAAAGGGTAATCTGCTGACGCCTCCCCTCCCGAACTAGCTTAGAACCGCATGCCGATGGGATTGTGCTTTCAAAAAAAGCTTTTTCTGTACAGTATTGTTTACTTCCCTAGGACGGTACTCACGAGTGTCCAGCGTACATGGAACGGAATGATTTTGTTGTGTCGATGTAATTCTGCGGCAATGTGCTCGACATCGCCGGCAGACGACGAGTGATATTACTGCGTAGTTTGATCGGCTGAATGTTTGTAGCGCTGGTGAGTTGCTTTATTTTTAGTAAACTCATAAGATAAGTTAGAAAGGTTCAACGAAATCCTTCCAGGATAACCCTTAAACAGCACGTTTATCCTGTTATGTTTCTGGTCGTGGGAACAACGACACGATACACCCCTTTCCAGGTATTCTTTCTCATTACTCATTAAATGCAGATGCGATTGAAGGAGCGCTTGTAGGCGGGGCTAGGTCGAATACGCTTTCCTGTCCTCTGTGGCCTTATTGGCGTTAAAAACCGATACAAAGTTCTTTGAGAGTAGATACCAAAGTTCTTTGAGAGTACGCAGACGGGCAGACGATGATAGTAGCCCAGAGCACGTCTTGCCGTTGGAGGAAAACGACCCTCTTCAGGTTTTTTCCTCTGGGACAACCCACGTTCGCCCTTTTTCCCCTTCCCTTCAGCGACTAAATGCAGCCCTCCTCGCTGGAGTTCCCCAACCTACGAAGTGCTCCGTAGTACTAATCCTGCCAAGTGCACCCTCCCCTCCATCCTTACAACCATGTCGGCTTAGCGCTCTATTTTCATTACTTCCATTAATGCCATCAATTTGCTGTAGTTATTGATAATTGTTGTGAATATTAAAGGATATTCGTTCGGATTGCTCAAAAATTGCCGTGAATTATGCGGCTGGCAACGGGCTCTTAGGTGTAAACTTTCATAGTGAAGAACTGCTGCAGGTACGCCATACGTTTAGTTGCGAGTAATTTTGTTTTATTGTAAACAAGGCAATTGCAGGATGCTTCACCTCTAGAGCGTGCTGAGAAATTTAAACTTGTTACGTTTGTGTGGGGCGACGATCTGAATCTCATAAAGAACCTCGAGTACTTCAGGGAACTTCAAGTGGATGGCGTTATTTACGACAGGTAATTAGTACTAAAATTTAATCCAATTAATTCAGCTATTTCACTGATTGAATGACGAAATGCCACGAATAGAAGCGCGAAATGTTTTCGAACTAGAGCCGGCGCTAAGCTATGCAGTTAGAAAGTACTCCAAGCTAAAGGCCTACACCGCGATCACCAGTGGGTAGAGACGGATGGCAACGGTTCTTCACTGGTGCATCCACACTTCTAAGATGGTGAAGGGATGAGTCGTGAACTCGTGCGAATTAGAATCGATCGGCAGTGCACATCAGAGGAACTCACCGAAGTCAAGGCTACGGAAGAGGGTGCGTTGGATTGGAACAAGTGGTGGGAAAGGCGTCTGGTGGGACAGAAAACCATACTCAAGTTCTGAGCCATTTCTAGACCTTCAACAGCGACGGAACTCCGAACCGGTGGCTAAAAGCTCACACTAAACTGCTTTGTTGCGGAACTACAGCCACCTAACACTCAGGGCTGGCACAAGGCTTGCGGCAGCGTCAACCAGCGTCTACCAACGCCCACGAGCGATCGCTGGGCTTCCGAGCGTCCAGCAGCGTCAGCGACCAGGAAAGACCATAGATATCGATCTAGCGTCTGCCAGCGTCTACCAGCGTTCACCAGCGACCGGGAGTAGAGAGTATGGGGAAGTAGGAGGGTAGCAAACAGCTGGATTAGGCGTCGTGAAATTGCGGCGTGTGCAACCGCACCGCACAACTACTAGCACAGAATTATGCAATTCAATGTACGGTATTATGTAGTGAAGCGGTGCTGTTGCACACGCTGCAATTTCACGAGCCTACTCCCGCTATTTGCTACCCTCCTACTTCTCCACAATCCCTACTCCCGTTCGCAGATGAACTCTGGCGGACGCTGGTAGACGCTGACAGTCGCTGGCGCTGCTGGACCCTTTAAACGCTAGTGGTCACTGATGGAAGCGCCACAAAGTATGAAGGCAGCCTTAATTCCTGCCTTTACAGGCGCTCTCAGCGCCATTAGTATGGCGGAAAGAGACTGACTTTGAGCACTCTCGGTAATTGCGCCCCTCTTTCAAAGGGTGAGATAGGGAAAGAGGCACAAATGAGGATGGCACTATTCTTTTCTATTTCCGCCCATGCGACTTGCGTGGAATGCGGCTCCAAAGAAGTGGCAGGCACATGCAGCAATGAAGACTCTATGTGGTACCTGACAAGCCCATCAACATGCCCAATGCAATCTGCATGTGACTCTCAGTTAAATGTTAAGAAACAACTTACTGTTCAGAATTGGTGAGGTGAGGCCGCGACGGAACACTTTCGTAGTTGAAAACGAGTCTCGAACTGCCCTACCAATACGAACTCCAGAACACGTAAGTCACTCACCATACATGCTGCTGAAAATTCGTACTAAATTCGTCGTCATTCATTTCAGAGTCGGTCGCCGACGCCTGAACCAGAACTGTTCGCTCGCATTCATACACAGTCAGCACCAGTACCAGAACCTATTGACCACAGTACAATGCAGCATTTGAGTATCTCAAAGAATTCTGCCTTCACTAAATTAAATGATGAGGAAAGCAGCCAAACATTATGTATACATAAGTCTGCACAGAATTATTGTTCATTATGCACTTAATTTATGTATTATTCATCTCCAATAAATGTTACTGGTTTTCATTACAGTTCTCAGTAGAGTGGGGAAGGATGGCGGCATGTGGCGCTATACGCCTCTCGAATTGGGCTTGATTCACAAAGCCATCCTTATCTTGGTCAATGGCGTTTTAGCAATTTCACTTGGAAGGATAAAGTAAGGCTGCGTTCATACATTTCGGCAGCGTCCACCAGCGACCAATGGCGTCCACCAGCGTTTCGAGCGCCCCGCAGCTCCTGCAGCGTTACGAGTGTCTAGCAAGTATTTATATGCTTCTAGCGTCCTGCAGCGTCTACCAGCGTCCAGGAGGGGAGAGTATGGGAGATAGGAGGGTAGCAGACTGCTGGTAGAGAGTATGGCGCGATAGGAGGTACCAGCTGTCTGCTACCTTCGTATCGCGCCATGCTCTCGTCTCCCTGGTAGACGCTGGCAAACGCTGACAGACGCTCGCAGACGCTGGATCGATATCTGTGTTCCTGGTCGCCGACGCTGCCGGACGCTCGGAACGCTGGTGGACGCTACTGGTCGCCGCAAAATATAAACGCAGCCTAAAGCTGGAATGATTGCTGCTACGTCCCAACCCAGGCGGCGCTGCGACAAACAGGGCACGCTGGGGATTTCCAACAAGAGGAATTGTACTTCGTACTCGCCTCTGGAAAAATGTCGCTCGGCCCTCTGGCCTTTCCTCGTTTTTTTGGCTTCTTGAGAGTGTTAGCGCACACTCCTTCCGAAACTGCAAAACAAGTGTGGTATAGTGTGGGAATTCAGGGGTTAGAAGAAGGTAAGATGGAGAGAAAGGGAGAGGAGAGGTTTGCGTCTAAAGATAGGCATTTCACAAGGACTTACCCCAAAGTGCCCCGGTCACGCGCTCACTACACATATTTTGAACCTGCACAATGTATGCATTAGAGGTCTCTGCCTATGATCTAGTCACTGAATAAGACCCTCACAGTCAATCGCCTTCTCAGCATAAACTCATCATGGGCTTCAAAAAAGGAAGAGATTCGGTGATAATCCTGTAGATATATTATAGCTTCCCTACAATGGATGCCTAACTGGTTAGTTTGCAAACAGTAAATCCGTATTTTACAAGGTTATTTTCGTAAGCAGCGACACTGAGAGTAGTTTTATATCTATTACTTCGAAATATGCACCACGATGACATTTTTCGAAAATACTCGTTTCGCGCATTCCACAAGTAGCGCTGATTGTAAGCAAGTATTGAAGGTGTACAACAGCAGAAACATATATAAAAACAGACATTAAAAAACAGAAAAAATGGCTGAAATCTGTTGTTTGCCGAGCCTCTTGGGTCCAAGTGGGGTCCCCATGAAAAGAGGAACCATACGTTACTCGAAATCCTGAGATCGGTAGCGGTGGCCGCTGTTGGCAGATTTAAACTCTGAAGGTGTCTGGGCTTCTGGTGAGATATTTTCATCTTGACACAATCGTTGTCGTGTCTCTATCCAACCAGAACAAGATGACAGTTGTCCCAGACTGGAATATTCCACGAGTAACCGATTCCGTGCCATGTTCAAATGCCACGCCTACTCTGGCTCAGGGATAAGTAGTGTAGAATGTTTCTTTTTAGCAACACTACAATAGCATTTCTTTTCAAAAAACTCCCGTTTCGCGCATTCCATGTTAGCAGGCACTGGTTGTGGGGTCACCAAAGAAGATGTGCAGCAGCATAAAAGATGAACTGACATAAAGAACGGAAAAACGGCTGGGAACTGTGCTCTCTAAGTGTGTTAGGATTGAGCAAGTCCCTAAGTTAGGAATCAATCACTCCAATAAATAAACTTCGGAAACTCCAATCAGTCAATATAATTTGAGTAGATCATCTCACCACTTCTAATCGTTGCATATGGTCTGAGAGGCGATCATCTGATTTCCTGAAGTTCATAAAATTGTAAAAAAACTTTGAAGAAGCGTTTTGATCTTGTAAATTTAAAGCTAGGACATCACCCGGAAGTGGCGCGCAGAACCCTCGCCCGAGTTCTGTGGTCAGTATGCGAGGGCTACCGAGGGGTGAACGACCTCGGCCAAAGAAGCTAGTTCGAATTGGGACCCTGAACGTGGGGTCGCTTACCGGGAAGTCTCGTGAGGTTGCCTACCTCATCAGACGCAGGAATATCGAAGTCCTATGCCTTCAGGGAACGCGATGAAAGGGTGCAAAGGCCCGCGAGATTGGAGAAGGGGTCAAATTTTTACAATGGAGCAGTACACGAAAACAGGATGGCGTGGCATAAGCGTGGCGAATCCTCAGGACTGCGTCTCCTCTGTGAACAGGATCATGGGAGTGAGAATGGACACAAAGAGGGGTACTGGACAGTACTGACCGTGTACGAACCACAATTCCGGTTGCTCAGAGGCGAAAAAGGATGAGTTCTACCTGGCTGGACGAGGCCATAAGATCTGTTCCGGAAGATGATTACCTCACTATAGCTGGGGATGATCTGAATGGTCATGTGGAAAGTGACAGAAGGAGCCTAGAAAGGGTGCACGGACGTCAAGGAATAGGAGCAAGAAATGCTGAGGGAGAGCGGATCATTGACCCCTAGCCACGGCCTACTACATAGCAATCTGCAGAACCTTCTTCGCGGAAAGGAGGACTCAAAAGATAACCAACAGCAGTGGAGGGAGACGAACGGAAATCGACCATGTCCTAGTGGGAGGGTCGTCTCCCGAATCGTCAAGGATATCAAGGGTACTGCCTGGGGAAAAGGGCCCTCAGCACAGGCCTCTCCCTGCGCAGACATCGTCATAGACCTTCCCAAGAATACGAGTGTAGAAAAGGATAGCACTCGGCCAAAGAGTACTGGAGGCTGGGCTCCCAGACCCAGATAGGCCAGGACACCTGGACCTACGCAGCAGAGGTCATCCTACAGTGTGCAAGGAAGTCCTGGGAGAGACGCGAGGTGGTATCAGAGGAGACAAGGCAGCCTGGTTTCTGGACTAGGAGGTCTCAGGGGATCGTTTAGCAGAACGGAGGAGCAGTATAAAGTGGCAGACGTACGAGGAGCCCCAGAAGACTTTGCTGCTCACAAGAGCTGCGGGCGACTCGCTAAGGCAGCCGTTGCTAAGGCTAAGAATACGGAAATGGACGCCCTGTACGACAAGCTGGAGGGCGAGAAGGGGACAAGTTCGTCTTCCGCCTGGCTAAAGCTCGGCATCGCGCTGCTCAGGACATCAGGGTCGTAAAGACTGTGAAGAGCAGCAACGGGGCCATTCTCGCACCAGCCGAAGTCCCAGAAAGAGGATGGGAAGGTTACTTCGAGGGCCTCTAAAGGAAGAATTCCCTTACACAACGATAGCCCACAGTTGGGCGCCGCATGTCCATCACTCCTTGGACGAAGGATGAAGTCCGCCGAGAGCTAGGGAGAATCAAGGGTGGGAAAGCAGTGGGTCCAGACGGGGTACCGATAGAGGCATGGAAGGCCCTTGGAGAGCATGGGGTGAGTTGGCTCACACACTTCCTAAACAAGGTAACAGTTGAAGGAAGGATGCCAAATGCGTGGAGCAGGTGGCTGGTCCATGTTTAAACAGAAAGTGACGCGGACGGAGTGCTACATACAACCGGCCTCCACTGAACTCCCCCTACCATGAAGCTGTACGAGCGCCTGGTCAACACTAGGCTGAGAAACTTGTTCGCTATCTAGCAGTAACAGTTCGGCTTTCATGTCCGAAAGGTCTACCACTGATGTTATCTTCATCGCCAGACAGCTGATGGAGAAGTACCGAGAGAAGCAGACCCTGCCACCTAGCCTTCCTGGACCTGCGACAGGCATTCGACGCGCTCCGCTCGCCTGTACCTCTGGAGAATGCTTAGAGAGTGTAACGTCCTGCAGTACCTAGTCTCCATAGTGAAGGACATGTACGATGGGGCTAAAGCAGCTGTACGCACCCCTCACGGCTTGACAAAGAACGTGAACATTACGGTTGGGGTACACCGAGGATCAGCCCTCAACCTGTCCCTCTTCCTCCTAACTCTGGTCATGGCGAAGGAACTCATGGAGGGACCACTGAAAACCATCCTCTACGCTGACGACATCGCCTTAACAGCGGACAGCATGAGAACTCCAAACAGGTGCAGCGGTGGCAGAATGTTCTCGCTGAAATGGACTCCGGCTGAACGTAAAGAAGAAAAGTTCCTGAGCTCCGAAGAGTGTAACGAACCCATCGTAGACTGCCATGGCGAGAGCATCGAAAGGGTCGAGGACTTCCAGTACCTGGGGAGCAACCTAGCAGCTGATGGCAGCGTGGACCAGGCGGTGAAGGCCCGAATCAACGCAGCCTGGATGAAATGGAGGGAGTCCACTGGCATCCTGTGCGACCCACGGTGCTCGAACATGCTCAAGGGCAAGGTGTACCGGGCTGTGATAAGGCCTACAATGCTCTACGGCAGCGAGTGCTGGCCTATCTGCAAGAACCATGAAAGGCAGCTCCACTCAGCTGAAATGAGGATGCTGAGATGGGCCTGCGGCTGGACACGACTCGACAGAGTCAGAAACGAGGACGTCAGGGCGGTCACACAGACGGCTCCGATCCAGCTGAAGGCACGAGAGCAGCGACTGCGATGGTATGGGCACGTACTGAGGAGGCCGTGGAGACCACCCAATAAAGACGTTGGAATTCGAAGCAGAGGGCAAGCGACCACGAGGAGCCCAAAGAAAAGATGGAGGGACGTCATCAAGAAGGACCTCACTGAAGTGAAAGCCACGGCAGAAGATGCAGTGGATCGGACAGTTCCGACGTGTAACACAAACAGCGGACCCAGCGACGGCGTGATCTTGTAGATCATCCATCACAGTAAAATAGATCAGAGAGATAGGTTTCCGTATATTAAAATGATCCCAGCTCATTGGAATTAATTTAAATGCATTTTTTATCAGCAGCACTACAATAGCATTTTTTCAAAAAACTCCCGTTTCGCGCATTCCATATTAGTAGGCTCTGGTTGTGGGGTCACTAACGAAGGGTTA